CAGTATCCCACATGTCATCCAAGACAATAAGGTACCGTTTTCCAAATAGTTGTTTCCGCAGCTTATCAGCAACGTCATCATCTATGTCCTTCTCACTGAATCTTTCTTTCAAACCAATAACTTGATTGAAAATTTTCTGCAACAACTTTTTCTCATTACGTTCTTGGTCGATTGTGCACCAAGCACAAACGTCGAAATGATCAACAATGGACTTATCATTATACACTCTGTATGCCAAAGTAGTTTTTCCAAGCCCTGGCATGCCGACTATGGAAATGACATCTATCTCAGCTGGTCCGCTGGTGAGCTTCCTAATTATCCACTCTGTCTCCTCCTCAAAACCTACAATTATTTTACCAACTGTACTCGATGAGTTTCTTTCAACCGGCTTGTTGGGAGCGTTCGCAACAATAATACCGCTGCTCTTGGGGATCTTCTCTTGTACCTCTTTTTTGACAAGCTTGATCTTTTCTACGGTATCAGGAAGTATGAAGATAAGCTGTAATAGACCATGATCTCGGGCAAGAATTGAGTTAATGGCATGTTCCGCCTCATATGACAAATCTAGAACGTGAGTCCAAAGATCTCTATGTAACTCTTGCTCACCATACCCAAAGAACGATCTTATGATTTCCAGGTCTTGTTTCACCTGCTTAATTTCTTCTTTTATCATAGAAACTGAAGAAGCATTGGAATTGACCAAGTCTTTCAAGTTTGTGAGCAGAAGAGTCATGAAGAGCGGTCCATCACTCATGGGGAAGCAGAGCCGAGATGAGTCTGCACGGGCTTTCAAGAAATCATTCTTGAGATCTTCCTTGAGGAGTTCAATACTTTCCAGCAAGTTTAGATTTGCATCACTTGTTTCATTCATATTCTCTTCTAAGTTGCGAACAAGAACGAATACCTCCTTGGTCAGTTCTCTAACACGTGCCAAGAAAACAAACAATTTGTCATGACGAATAACGTCCTTGAGCACATCACTAAGAATAATCAATAAGAACTCTATCATGACATGAATGTTACACGTAGAAGCTCTAGGAGTACCAGCATTAACCATGTGCTCTTGTAGATGAATCAGAGATACTCTAAGAATGTCCGGAGAGGCTTCTACGAGCTGCTTGATGAAACGTTCAACTTCTTCCGACTTTGAACCTTTCAAATTTGTACAACATATGTGCATAACCTCCAGTTCAACAGGAATAACCTCCACAAGTAGATTAGCTAGCTTGGAGTTAACTAGAGAGACATCTGATTCATCGAATTTGTCCAGTTGACAATTCAAAAGAGTAAAACAGATGTTTACTACTCTCAGAGCCATAAGTTGAAGATGAGGTAAGACATATTCGATTGTTTCATACTCAACGCAACCATTTACTTTCAACCTATGGAAATCTCTTAAATTGCCAAATACATTCTGAAGAAGCTCACATTGAGTCATTGATGGGAAAATAGATTCAGAACAACACTTGAGTAGACATTGGAGATACACGAGGATGGCATCTAAAAGTTCAACCAAACGATCCTCGGTCATGGTTACACGACTTGGTTCAGCATAGCAATGTGAGTTAATATAACTTTTGATATTCTCCAAGAGGTCATGATTCTTTATATTAACCAGCATGTCTTCTCCACTTGGATGAAACAGTGACTGAACCAAATCATGAATCTTATTTGATATGCAGGACATTTCGTCATTACAGCTTTCCAAAAAGAAAGAGTAATAAAGATGACAAAATGCGGACACAAACGTCAGCTCCAATGTCAACTCTTTATATTGATACAAGTCAAGAGAAATTCGAACACGCCAACTATTTAACCTCTCTATGAAATCTAGAAGATTGACAATGTCCTCGCGAAGTACAACGGATGACACCTGCCACAAGAGCAAATGTTGTTTCAAATTATGTTAATACATAGATGGTGATAATTTAGATAGAAAAAGGGAACGACTAATATAGTTGAGGTGTGAAACTCGCGAAAATGTGATAGCTCTAAATTTTACAACAAGCAACTGTCACAAGTGCAGAGGACTTTCTCCAGAATAGCCTAATAGAGAAGCCAAAATGTTTGTCCTGTTACACCTCAAATCTTAAACCAAAAAATGACGGCCTGGTGCACTAAGCTCTCTCATTGTTTACGCGCTATCTCTCTAAACAAAAGCTCTTACTTTCGTAGTTCTTAATCCCTTACATTTATCAACTATAGCAGATGATTTAGTACATAGAGTTTAACTTATATCAGAAAGATTAAATCATTGAGTCTTATAGGTTATAAAGATTATATTCACCATCTAAGTTACACAAAGAAACAGACATACTTACAGGAATATGTAATTATGTGAATGAAAAAAATAATTAAATTTTGTATGACATACCAATGATTTTGTTATCTTCCCCTTTTGTTTGCCCTTCATTTTCTTTTCCTCTTTCCATTCTCACTAATCAAGCCAAAGTAGTTAAAAAGAATTTAAAAAAATCCTTCCTTTCAACTTCTCAAGAGAAACAATTTACATCAAACCTACCCCTACCTCAAAGGTACATAAATTGTTACTGATAGATCCTCGGCTTAACAAAAACAATCTTAAGCATGCAATCCCAAAAAGGAACTAATGAATATACAAGAAACAACAGACAATAATAACAAAAATAGCACATAGTAATAGAACATAAATTACAACAAAACAATATACTAATCGAGGTACAAGAAACAACAGACAGAGTAACATACCAATGAGTTGCTTGCTAATTTCTCTATTTCTCCTTCATTTTCTTTTCCTATTTCCGTGTATGCAATTCTCAAAATAGATCTGAACAATTACTCTACTAATTAGTCTCTAATTAACACCAAAAATGTCTAGAAAATATTATTTTGTAAAGAAGAAAGTATTAACACCCAAATATTCTTCAATAATCATACCTTAAAGTTGACAAAATGGGACACCTAAATATCTTTTTTTTTTTAACTCATTTAACTCTCGAAATTCGAATACTATCACGTGATGGAGGCAGTAGTACACATTATCTTCTTGGTCTTTGTAAATTAATTGTCATCTTCAAGTCTCTGTAATCAATTGTGGAAAATATAATATTTTACACTCCACTTGTTTTGAGGTTACCTATAAAAAAATTCTTTTTTTTTTGGTTTGTAAACTTCCCTATCTGATTCTAATTGGATGTTCCTTTTGGGCGTGCCAGTAAAAAAAAAAAAAACATTATTCTAAAAATATTTGTGTATGAGACGTGAGAGTTGAATGGTGGGTGGATGGGGCTACACGAATGAGGGTGATGAGAGTAGAAAAAACACATATAATAGAGTAGGGGTGTCAAAAATGAACCCAAACATAGGTAACCCGTCCAACCCGCCCAGAATTTTAAAAATTGGGCTCAAGATAATTTGAATTGAGTTCAATCTCAACTCATTCAAGTCTAACCCATTTAAAGAGAATCCTCAATTGAGCCCAATTCAATCTCCAATTTCAATCCGTTTTAAAACTCTTTACTAAGATTTTACTATATTAAAGGTATGATTTATTATCTATTTAACATCTTTTAGGATTTATCTATCCATTTGTTACTTTTTTTAAAAAAAAAATCTTGAGCTGAAATTCGCTTGTGAATATAAAAGTTAAATATCATTATGTTAAAATTATTGAGATTAATTGGGTCAAATTGGGCGGGTCAAGACCCAACCCATTTTTAGCCCATTTGAACCCAACCCATTTGAGCCCAAAGTAAACTTGGGCGGGTCAAGACCCAACCCGATTTCTATTTCAACCAATTTTAATATCTCCAATTTCAAACCAACCTGCCCATTTGACCCCCCTATAATAGAGTGTCACTTGTATAATTTGTTTTTTTTTGCTAAAAAAAATAGTCATTAAGTTGTCTCAACTCCTCCTCCTTATGTATCGCAGATGCTTATTGTATGACACATAAATTTTAAAAGGTGTCTAGATAATCATTTTATATTAGTATGTAAATGACTTTTCATGCAATTATAGGAGTATTTTTTGTCCTTTTCCCTTGAATAAACAATATAAGATGATAATGTGTAACTTTTGACCATGAGACTAAAACGAAAATATAAAAAAAAATCACTTTAGTCTAAAGTAGTCTTGTGAATTGTCTTTTTATTGTCCATTTCTCAATGTCTAATTATTTCTTCTTTCTAGCACCAATAATACTCCAATTCTCAATTCCTTTAAGCACTTCTCATACACAATTTTTTTTTAAATGAGTTTTTTATTTAAAAAAATAAAGAAAATGACTTTTCTAATGAATGCCGGAGAAATAAGTTTTACAAGTGACATAACACCACTTATTTTGAAATGGAGGGAGTAACACCTCACTGCTTAGACCAAATAGGAATCATGAAATTGCATGTTTTGACTTTTAAATGGGCTTGTCTTTAACTTTTGTCTTTTAACAATCAAATTTATACCCAATAAGATGTAATTATTTTACCAATTGAAATCATATCCCGACATAATTTATA